CATATTAACTTCCCTCACCTCACAATCATATGCTCAAAATGTTCATCATATCTCTGTTCATTGATAGTAGATGTGGTGTTTGGTGGTATAATAAAGAAAGATGTAATCAAAGCAATTTGTTACAAACTAATAAAAATTAAAAGAAGTTATAATAGTTATGGTTCAATACAAAAATATTTAAAAAACAAACATTTATTACAATTGTAAAAAAGATTTATAGTTTTTTTTTCCAAATTTTAACATAACTGTCATGCTTAGCTATGACATATTTTTATTTGGCCATTTTTTTACAATTATATTTTATTTTGCCTTTTTTATACTTTTTTTAAATATTACAATAAAGTGTTTTCTTAAAATTATATTTATTAGCACCATAAGCTATCTTGTTGTTACTAATGCTGTCAACTTTCTTAATTATTATTATATTTTTAGGTGAAATGGCTTCTGACCAACGACGTCGTAGAAAGAAACGGACGACCGGTGAGCCCTCAGGAGAGGGTGGTAGTGAAGCACCACCACCAACTCAGCTACATCCTAACATTGTTTCGTTACATGGTACACATAGAGCAGCACATCCTGATGGGGTAAATCCAATTTTTTCTTAACTTATTACGATTGTGCCAAATATTTAAGGTAACTCTAACTAATAATATGTCTTTGTAGGGAACAATATTGGAAGCGGCATCACATCTTCTAATGGTGCATGAATGGCCGGTAATTGCCCAAGATTTATGGATGCTTTAAGATTAATTGGGCTAGATTGTGTTAGTAAGATGAGATATTTACGGATAAACCGCCATTTGTTGACAGGCTTAATGGAGAGGTGGTCACCTCAGACAAATAGTTTTCACCTAACCGTTGGCGAGATGACTATTACCTTACATGATGTTGCTATGATATTGGGAGTCCATATAGATGGTCCTGCTTTGGTTGAGCATGCTGTTGTTGGAGCTGGGAGACGTTGGATTAGTTTTCCTGACTGCTGTGATGACCTTCTTGGGAGCCATCCACTACCAGATGTTCTATATTGGGACCCATTCGATCATCACATCACATCAAGATTTCGTATGGGATAGGCACATGCACAAACTTGTATTCCCCTCAGATGGTTGCGATGGACATTTTGGCGTGACTCCTACTTGGACCTAAACGATATGGATTTTTGGAGGCATGTTCGGGCTTACATATTATTCATATTAGGTTGTCACCTCCTCCCGGATACTTCAGGTTCAGAGATACATTTACAATACCTTACTATTATGGAGGATTTG